CACCAGTGAAGGACTTGAAGAAACGTTCAAGCTGTCAACATCTCTGCTGAGGCTTTGAGCGCCATGCTAAGAGCGGTCCCCGAGAAGTCTCGATGAACTCATCATGGCAGGCGCGGCAATTCCGAGTCCCCAATAAATTTTCGGGATTCACGAATATTACTGTCAGGCCTGTCTCAAATTTTGTAAAAGTGAGTGGAATCATGGGGTGTACCAGAGGCCGGACATCATTCTTACATGGGGTCTAATACTTGAGGCAGTTTTGTGGGCGGTGTTGGAACTTGGTATTGTCACCCAGGCCGGCGTCCCAGTAAGGAACGGGGGGGGGTCCCTTGCCCTCGCATGGCAGTAAGCCAGGCACCGTGGTCATGGATGAGTTTTGCCTCGTTCATTTCGGAGAACAAGTCCGTTGGAGTATCAATATATATCAACTTGGATAGTACCTCAAAACGCACCCCATGGATAACCAATGTTGGCGGACTCATTCAGGTATGGAAGACAGATTGAATGGTTACTAACTCTCATGGACCAAGATGCAATAACCGAGCGCGCATCGGTCTCAGGCCCGTGCGCGGGTCTATGAGAACCATAAACAAAAGCACTAATCCATCGTCAGCACAGTGATAACAAATCAAGGACATGAACAATGATACACAAACACAATGCTTGTGCAGCCATCATAACACGTCGGTCTCAGGCCCGTGCGCGGGTCTATGAGAACCATAAACAAAAGCACTAATCCATCGTCAGCACAGTGATAACAAATCAAGGACATGAACAATGATACACAAACACAATGCTTGTGCAGCCATCGTAACACGTCGGTTCAGGAGCGAGCATGGACTCGGAAATAGAAGCTATGGAGCTGAATCAAGACAGCGAAACGCGCGGTGAGGAGACATCCTGTCACAGCGAAACAACTTGTGGGAAGGGGCAGTCCTCCTATGATCCCTAGACTGTTTTAAGCTGTTATTGAATTACTTCCTGTCATTCACGATGGGTCAAAGGAAGCATGAATTCGTAACAATGGATTAAAAGAAATATACCGACCTGCATACTTGGTATTTGAACAATGGACAGCACCCAAGTACGTATATGTCGGCGACCATGTAAGCGAAAAGCACAGTCAAAACTTCTCGGGTCAAAATGCGATCCTTTTTGCGTGCAAAAAATGAGCAAGCTTTGAAGAAGTGCGTGACCTTAGCTTTCAGTCCGTCGCGTGGTTTCTGGTCAATGGCTCGACCGCGGCAGTGTATGGAATCTACACCCAGCATCACGCACCCCTTCGGAAACTTCAAGGTACCACACGTACATACGGCAAAGTTTCCCTGAACACACTAATGGCTCTTTGACGGTGGGAGCAGTAAGGGAAGCCGGATATTTTTCACGTACAATGACAATCAGTGATGGTGTAGGTGCCTGTTAGAATGGGACGCGAGATCAGTGCGGGGTCAACACAGCTCGATTGAAACATCGACTGAGAGCATACGGAGAGCAAAAAAGCCCATCAATGCTGAAGCGGACCGGGAATGTAGAACGTATTTCTTAAAGGGGAATTCTCGGGAATCACCAGCGAACACAGCCACAAAAACAAGCGAATCCTGTATGCACAGGACTCGGAATAATACCACCCCTCATGGCCAGATTATGGTGCGGCGTAGCCCGCTATATGACGTGTCACTTTGAGGTCCTCACAAATGCACATTTGCTGGCTGGAATTGACCTTGGTAAGCAGGGCCTTGGCTAGAATCACGGTTACTCTGATGAGGTGAAGTTTCGCAGGTCCCACAGGCTGAGTTACTTGATAACTTATGTTGATAACACTTCAAAAATGACATTCTGGCCGCTTTGTCTTGCCAGTGAACCCAGGTCGCAGGCGTTATTTCAACGTCGTCGTGATAGCGTAAGCATAGAAAATGGTCAAGGCCAACGTTCAGGTCTAGTGGCTAGTAACTTGAAATCATCTGTACATTTTCTCGATCATCATCCGAGTCCAATCATGTCATCTGGGCGAGGCTATTACAGCCAATGAGCATCAGTGCCGATCATCTCTCCAACCTCCCGACTGCAGTGGAGTAGCGCCCCAAGAGAAGCGAGGTTTTGGGAATCTACTTTGATGTACTTGGGCTCTTGGCACTAATGGTTGGCATTCTTTATATTTGTTCATGGTGTCCGAACCGCCTCGTCACCTCAGTTGTACAGTTCTTCAAGTCCTTCATGTTTTCTGCGACACCAGGTACATTCTTCGTTTCGGAAGTTTTTTTCATAGTTGCGGTTCATCACAGCTTTCGGTTCTTGGAGATGCTCTCGCAGCGGTCACGAGAGGACTGGAGAGCTCGGGCAGTTCCCATTGTGGGAGCCTCAAACATGGATGCGGTCAACCCCGTTGAGTAAACCGCTTGCTGTGTGGCAAACCGTTTCCTTAGCAAGCTAAAGTCCGAAGATATTCGATGAGCGCCCGGACGTTGATTACAATATGGAACGTTTGACAGCTACAGATTGTTTGTTTTTTAATCGTTATTTCTTGCACCGAGATAACGGAAATTCATTTTTAGTTCAGCCAGAACTTGTGGACGCGGACAAATTTGTGATTTCAGCACTCTCAAAACGTTATTTCCTGGGGAAAGATATGTATTTTGGACGTGAAAAGGTGCGAATATAGTTCATTCTGGGATAATTATCCCTCGATTTGACTGTTTAGTTCCATACTCCTGTTCGCAAGAAATGTCTGCGACGCTGTATTTCCTTAGTTGTTGGGATATACAGAAAAAAGTCCTCGCTGGGGTATATAAGCTCTCCATCCCACTCTTTCTGACAGCATCAAGCACCTACCTTCGACTACTCGTAGGTTTCTCCCCTCGCGGCAAAACATTCCTCCAGCAAGGAATATACACCGTTTCTGTCCATCCCGCCGACATAATCACCATCAAGTTCTTCGATGGGGTCATCAAGGGGAACCAGAGCCAATTTCGTGGTTTCCGCGAATGTGAACTGAAATGAGAAATTTACGCCCCCGCAGCTGTATGTCTAATCGTTGTATTTCGCGATATCCTTGTCGCTAGCTCTTTTCTTTCGCCAGCAGTTCCTTTCCTACACATTCATTGATATTCAACAACATTCTTATTATCACAAAATCTCGGAAAAAATTCGATCCCGTCTTCATCTTCCTTTCCCCTGAATTCAACTTGAGGTCGCTTCTCAGTTCCTTGTCTCGTTTGCGTTCAACCGCAATATCCCGATTCCTATATTCATTTACTACGTACCATGGGCCATGGACTTTTTGCTTTCGTAGCTGGGAACAACTCATGTCATAGTCCTTTAGTTTTCTCGAAATCGTATTTGTCGCTGTCTTTTTGAGTGCCAACAAGTTTTTGCTCGTAAGATGGGTAGTCTTTGGGTAGAGCCAACACGAATATACATCGACGATTGTTCATTGGCAGAGAATAGCTGCTTTGTTTCTCGGGTTGGGATTTTGTAGCATTGGGACCTTGTCACGCCAACGCCAACACCGAAATGTGGTTCAATGACGAGAACCATCCTCGCGGCGAGTTCGATTCTTTATCCACTGTTTATATTTGCACCCACGGATTCGGGCCTCTGGCTACTGTAGCGGCTCAGAGCGAAAGCACTGGTAACGCTCACAACTGGCATAGCGATGTATTTCACGCTCGCACACGTTGATAGCGAAGTTGGCTATCGCCTTATGCCCTCGCGCCTGTATCCAAGTCCGCAACTTGTTGCATATCGCATCAATCTCTAGCTGGAATCTCTCCAAGTAAACCCCTGAACCCAGTCTGATGCTTGTCCTCTATTACACCTATAATACAGTACGATACATATCCTCGGAGTCGTAGTAAACCAGTTACTATCCACGCATGACGTTCATAAAGAATAAGGGCATTATGAAGTAGCAGCTACAGCAGGGACGAGCGAGATGATCGTCGCCGCCTCCGCGTCAGTGGCACTCACAGCGGGGGAAGCGGTTATAACCGACCCGCCAGCCACGCCCGTCAAGCTCGCGAGGAGACTCGAGGCTTCGTCGGGGGACAGCGTCGTCGTGACGGGCACCTCGGTGCTCACGAACACCGTCGCAGTAGGAGTGAGCGTCACAGTCACGGTGACGACCCCGCTGTCGTCGACGGACGTGCCAGACGCGGTAGTATCCGTGGAGTTGGCACTCGTCGTGGAGTTGGAATTGGACGTGGACGTGGAATCGGACGTGGTGCCGTTACCAAAGATGCCGCCGGTCGCGCCCGTAGCGTCGATCACGGAAATCGCGTCCTTTTCGCTCGTGCACTGCAAGAACTACACAACGAGTCAGCTCTGGGTATTCGACGGATGGAGACCCGCTACGCTACGCACCGTGCCGTTGCCCCGCACGGACGGGAGGGCGAAACACTGCGCCGAGCCCGCGCAGGGGGACGTCGCCCACTGATTATCCGCACACTGTGCCACGTCCCCGGATATGCACGCTACTTCGCCCGCTAGGAGGAGAATTATGAGTACGGGAGGACCCCGGGAGGGCGGGAGGAGAGACATACTGGAGCACGTGTCGTTGGCGGAGAGGCTCTGGAAGGCGAGGTTCTGGGACTGGGCGGCCTGGCCGTTCGCGAGGAGGGCGGAGGCGTCGAGGGAGGCGGTGGGCGCGCCGCGCGAGGAGAAGAAAAGAGTGGAGAAAAAGAGAATGGAGGAGAGCATCATGGACGGGGAGCACCAGGCTGAAAGGAAGAAAAAAGAAGGGTGGAGAGCATTGTGCGGGGGGAGGGTTTTATAAGTAGGAGAACAATAAGGCAAAGAAAAGAGTACAAGGACTTGTTTGTTCCCTTGGCAGGGTGGCGTGCCTTTCGGCAAAAGCCGAGTTAGGCAAACAGGTTCAACAGGTCATGGACTTGCTAAACCAACAGTCCTTGGTACGACCAAAGATATTTTCAGTGTTCACAAACTAACTGGTAGTCTCATTGTCGAGTTCGAAAGGAACAAAAACAATGGTGAGGAATATTGCATGAGTCGACCCAGGTTCGAACTGAGGACCTTCTGTGAACATAGGTATATCCCTCCAAAATTCAATGTTAGACAGATGCGATAACCAGCTACGCCATCGACCCTTCACCGGGATGGCTGGGGCGCTTCGAGGGACATTGATATTGGTATGCACTACACTAATACAACATCAACAAAAGGCAGAGGAAAGGTATTCGACGCTAAGCATATTCACATTAGCATATGGCACAAAGCGGAAGTAAACCTCAGCAGAACACGTCAGCCTGAGGCATAATCCAAAACCCTCCCATGCGCGCGTACACTGCAATCACTATTCAGGCCTCCGACGCGACGATGGGGAAGTAGCACACTCACAGGAGGGACAGGGTGTCGTCGCCATTGACCTTTGCTTGGAAGGCGATCTCGACTTCGAGGTTGAGGTCAAGGCGGAGCTTCACGGATGCGGGGGGCGCGGGGGTACGCCGACGATCTGGCCGCCGGGGTAGTTGCGAATTGGGATTGTGGGGCAGACATCGTTGTGTAAGTGTAAGTGTTGGGTTGCGGGGTTTACATCCTTCTCGTCGTCCTCGGTTGGCAGTATATTAGTATCTGTAAACCTATTAGATACCAATATCACCGTTGTTCTGGGATCATGCAATTGCGATTTTACCAACCACAACAACGCGCGTGTACCAAATTTCGAGGTAGTAAATTCGTCCACTGGAATTGTCAGGGATCGAGAGCGTGGTAGTGCAAGTCTGACTCTGGACGGCAATTCCCGACGCCTTTCTCTCCGTCCCAACTCGGTCTAACTTAATACACGAAGAGTACCGTATTCCTCTCGCTCTACCCTCTTACTAGCCTCCATACGCAGGCGGTACACCCCGGATCCCATGCCTTGACGGACCTCGATGACAAGTGGGGAGCACGAGGAGATTTACTAGTCGTCGGTCGCCTCTGCACCGTGTCGTTTCTTCCTCGCTGGTCTGCCCCTGTTCCAAGCTCGACTTGTGTTTGATGGATGGCCATCATCACACCTCAGCCCTGACCCCGGCACAGTACTCGCCTGCCAGGTCGTTACGCGCCATTCTTCTCTTTACCGCACGTCCTCACTTTGCTTGGGTCGCTTGCGAGCAGTCTCTGTTAGTCGTCGCTGCACCTTACGTGCAAACCCTCTCTCCCATCACTCCTCGGCATCGAGAACAGCGCGTTCACCCCCCCTCTCCAAACGTCGTATCCATCTCTCCCCCGACCTTCTCACCAAGCACGCTTCCACACTTCGGCGCAGAGTTCATTCCTCCCGACTCGGGTTGTTTGGAAGCGAGGGCTCATTCTAGATGGTGGTGCTCGACAGACTACCTGCCTGCCTAGCTCGTTTCGACCTACACCCGTCTTTCTTTACCTACCTACCCCACGTTCCGTCCTCGGTTCCCTGGATTCTGTTTCCTTATCTTATCCGTGGGTCCGGACGCCCGGGGGGTAGGCCGCTCGCTCGCAACCATGGGTGCTCGCTGTTCCGATACCGTACACGCGAAGTTGGAGAGAGCTGAACTCTTGCGTTGGTGCGTCAAACAAAGTAAAAAAAACCAGGGAGAAGCAGACTACGTACGAGCGCATTCAAGTTTCTTGCCTTTGTCCCTTCACTGTGCCACAGCCACGAAGCCTGAGGAGTTCGTTTCACAGATCTTGCGCGGGCGGGGCTGGGTCTGACCTCCGACGCTGGAATTGTAGAGTTGGAGCGGGTGAGGGAGAGGTTCAGGCTAGTAGACGAGCATGGTGCTTTCCTAGCTGGGGACATGCGAGTTCTCACTCAAGACGACTTCGAGGTGTGGGTCCGAGTCGTATTAGAGCGGATTCCACTATGTGAGGACCCTTTGTCCCTGGAGCACCTGTTTTGAGGCCAGGGCGATGTCTGTTCCTTTTCTGTGAGTTGGTGGCTTTTAGCTTGTGCGTCCTTCTAGCTGATCGGTTGCTTGCAGTGTGTATACAATGTACTATGTCATCGGAGATATAAGAATATGAGTATTATTTTCGATTAGGTTCTATCGATCCCTGTGTAAGTGTATGAAGGAGCGGCAGGAGGCACAGGAACTGGTTCTGAAGTGGCACGATTACAAGGGCTCGTAGTTGGCGCATCATTCGACGGATTGTATCGGTTCGTTCTTCTGCTAGTCCCAAGTACAACGGATGCTGGCGACTGTGACTTTCTCGAGAGTACGATCCTAACGTTGCCCAGGGGTGATGTCAACGAGTCGGCGCTGTAAAAACGAAAAGGTGGGCATCTATTCTCTTGATCTGCCGAGAGGAAGGACGGGGGGGCTTCGCTTCGTTCAAGGGGTCTGATGCTTATCGGCGTGCACTCGAAATCGGAATACTGGGCGAGTCGGCGCGGGCACTTGGATAAACGCGTGTTTTTGTCCTCGGGAGGGGGCATCTCGGCGTTGCTTCCCGGGTGAAGTCACTGTCTCGATTCTTTACAGCAGGTTGTGGTTAGCGTCTGATAATGGCAAACTACTCATGCGATGAGAAGTGAGAGGAAATCCTTTTTTTTTTTGACGCCCTCGGTGGGTCTGGAGGGATCCACGGTGGTTTTTGTATGTCCTGCGTAACCTCGTTTACGCTCTCACGTTCTGCCGCGCGCGCATGGTCATTTGCAAGTCCTCATGTTGTGCTGGGCTTTTTCCATCCATCCTTCAGTGGTTTCTCGTCGTATTTTCGAATTACGTATCACTATATTCGTGCTTCTTTGATACGATACGTCTGGAATATACATACATAGAAGCTCGCTGAGGACGGTGATGGCGAGAAGTCCGTGCTCCTTCAGAAGAAGAAGAAGCCTTTGGAATCCCTCGAAATTTGCATGCAGGGTGTTTTGTGAAAACGAGTCAACCCTTACGTTCGTAGATTGTTCTTCGTATAATGTAACACCTAGTTGCGACGAGGCACCCGAGTTGCTGAAAGACACCATGGTGCAATCATAACGTTGCGGCCCTACCCGTGTTCGTATAAAGAACCAGCAAGCACTGACCACCCTTTCCTCAACATCACTATGTCTGCCCCACAAACCCAATACGCACCCACTCAGTCTTCTTCCGCCCTCGGTGGACAGGTCGTCGGCCGCCAGGCCGTCGCACCCCCTGCAGCTTTGAAGTTGCGCCTTGACCTCAACCTCGAAGTCGAGATTGCCATCCAGGCGAAGGTCAATGGTGATATTACCTTGTCCCTCCTGTGAGTGTGTTGCTTTGTATGGTCGTGTTGGAGGGCTGACTGGGGTTTGCAGTGAGTAAATGCGCGACGCGCATGGGAGGTGGAGTCGGCGCGTAGTCGTCCGTTCGGGGTGAGCTTTGTCTGTTGGCGTGTTCGACCGTTTCGTGCTAACACTTGTCAAGGCACCGCTATGTACCGGTTACATCCTTCTCGTCGTCCTCGGTTGGCAGTGTATTAGTGTCTGTACACCTATTAGATACAAATATCACTGTTGTTCTGGGATCATGCAATTGAGATTTTACCAACAACAGCGCGTATGTCCCAAGTTTTGAGGCGGTAAATTCGTCGATTGGAGCTATCGTCAGGGATTGAGAGCATGGTAGTGCAAGAGTGACACTGTGCGGCATCTCCCGGACGCGTTTCTCTCCCACTACCACGTCCCAACTCGGTCCCGTCGCTTCTCCCTTCACTCCTACTCCGCGTCGTCCAACGGCGCAAGCAAGCTTGGGATTACCTTGATTCCAGCTATGTCTGCTTCCTCACGTACGCGACACATCCTCGATGACACGTGAGAATCGTTTGCTTTGCTTTGGACGAGCACCGGGAGATCAGGCTGTTCGCTAGTCGCCGCTGTGAACCAAAACTCGCCGGCCGAGTCGTGCAGTGTATGTCCGTTGATGGATGACTCGGACTGTCGAGTGTAACGCGATACTATGCGCATACCGCAACACGCCCGTCCCTATGTCATGAGAGGTAGCTTCAGAGCGGTTTACGGACGCCTCGGCGTGGCGACTACCACTCGCTCTGACGCTCCTCCTGCGGTACGAAGGTCCTCTCTCCCTATCCCTATCCCTCTCCATCCCAGGGTTCCAAGCGCGTCAATATCGCCGTTCGTCCGAAAGATGTCGAGTTCGTGCATTCCACACTCGACGTTCAGTTCTGCGGCGCACTGTCAGGCGACAACGGGAGTTCCACGCTCACTTGTGGATAACAGCTGCACCTGCTTATCGGGCGTCTCCCGGGATGTGATCGTCGGATAGCATGTGTAGATTCGCCTACTGCAGTGAGGATGGATGTATACGGCGGCATCAAGAGGTGTGCTCCGATTTCTGAGACTGTACAACCGTGTAAATCTGATACATACATAACCCACTGGCTTATTTCTCTCGAAATGCCATATCCATCTCTGCACGCTTCCACACTCGCGGATAGACGGGTCCGGCGCTTTTGGCGTGGAGTTCGATTCTCCCGAGGCGTATTCCTGGACATTTTCTCAGGAAGGAATCCTACCAAGCATAGTGACGATTCTGCGAAAGGGGTTGGATACTATCAAGTGAGCAAGATGGAAATTGTGATTTCTTCCCTCATCGCCTTAAGAAAAAAAAGGTGTCGCGTCTCGTTGACGGCAACGATTCTTTCGCGAAAGGGTTTGGGGAGGGGGGGGGGGGGTGTTTATGCAGGGAGAAAGCTGGGAATCGGGATAGCTTCCCTTGTCGGTCCTCATACGGTTGACTGGGTACCTCTCTCCCTCAAGTCCTCATGTCATGTCGAACTTGGCGTCTTTGGACACTGCCTACCTTACCTATTCCGCAATCTGTCCTCCACCCTCTGGGTCTACGGGTCGCACCTCGCAGGATCCTGCGCGATTCGTTCCTGAATCCAGACGCTTGTTGTATGCGGGAGAATTGACCGCTCCCTCGTTACCGTGTTGGCTCTTGCATCTTTCCTCAATTCGAATCTGGGTCGGCTCAGTTGTGTTGTCCATGCGATTACGTTTGTTTCCTTTGCCTCGATGGTGTTCTTCGAACTTCAGTATAAGTGCAGCCTTCGAAAGTTGCGGATCCCATTCGTTGTCTACCCCAGCCTCCTCGATATTATTTCATTCTCCTTGTGGCAGGAACATCTTAGAACATCGCTA